GTAAACTTTAATTACAAATTTAATGTCACTACATATTTTAAAAAAAGTCCTTAGCCGCGTCTGTCTGTCTGTCTGTTCGCGATAAATTCAACAGCTGCTTCACCGATTTTCTTGCTGTTTTCACCAATGGATAGAGTGGTTCTCGAGGAAGGTTTTAGTATATAATTTGTTAAGTTTTTGTATACATTAACGATATTTGTTGGAGGTTTCGGGAAAAAATAAGCCGTCTGGGAGCTTTCAACGAAAACGCTGCCTAAACCCTTTGAGATATAACAAAATAATGTATGGTGCAATTGTGTATCTTATATAGGTCTACAGAAAAGTCCGCGACGGCATATGTCTATCTCTTAAGGATAACATACTATATCCATTTTAATACTTTAAAAAATAGGCAATTATAAAGCGGTAATTGGAAAGCTATTTACACAAATACGGTATTAATCCTTATCATTTTAAATACGTTAGTTGGCTTGAGCATTTCATGAAGATTATTTTTTCCCTTTACACCATGCAAATTAAATGAATACCTTAGGAGATATAGCAAAATCAAAATAATGCGCAACGAAATTAATTTCGTGTCGCCGTGATTCGACCGGGCCGCGCGGGCGCCCCGTGACCCCGCGCCTCGCGTCCGAGCCGGGGGGGTCCGAAAGTTTATGTAGTGTATCAATGTATGGTGGAATTGTGTATCTTATATATGCCTACAGAAAAGTCCGCGATGGCATATGTCTATATGTTAAAGATAACATACTACCTATATCCATTTTAATACTTTAAAAAATTGGCAATTATAAAGCGGTAATGTAAAAGCTATTTACACAAATACGGTATTAATCCTTATCATTTTAAATAAGTTAGAGGCTTTAAGCATTTCATGCACATTATTTTACTCTTTTACACCATATAATTTAAATGAATATCTTACGAGTAATCGCAAAAAATTACGGACGCGAGAATAAAATTCAAGCGCCTCGCTTCGCTTGATGCGATCGCCGACACTCCCCCCGCACGGTCTTGCCTACTGTTTAGCTAATAAGCCGAACGATAATGCGCGCGTGATCCTTTAATAAACTGACTTGGAGCGAATGGAGGTGACGACTGACGACTGTGTTTTCTTTCTGGGTGTTGTTGGAAAGTTATATTGCGTAAGATATTTTAAGGTCACATTTTTGTTTTGTATTTGTTGTCTTTAGGTCGGAACATACATAGATACTTTTATTTCATTGGGTTTTAATAATTTGTTTGTTTTTTCTTATTGTGAATCATTTAAAACTTCATAGTCGCATTTTTGTTTCGTGTTTGTTTTCTTTAGGTAGTTAGATACCTAACTACTTACATATTAATTAAAATTGATAGTCTGGAACATAGTCTTCTCAGTTATCTTATACAGCTCGATTTTTTTTGTTCCTGGAACAATCTTTCGACCACAAGGTGCACACACTTTCGATCGATTTTCCTCGTGATCAAATTCAGGTGGTTCTCGGAGTTTGTTGTGTACCAATTGTAAACAATACATAAAATCAAATCGCCATTGGCAATCGTGAAAAGTTATATGTTCTACTATTGTCAACTTGTGAGGATGCAGTGTTGTCAGATCTGCGGGGGAATGTGTTTGCGGGCGGGAGGCGGAGCGTGGTGGTGAGGGGTGGGGGAGGGTGAAGATAATTGTTTATTCGACACAATCCTACATGTATTTATATTAGAACATGATTGCAGGCCACCATATATTCAGTTTCTGGGTCTTTTCAGGATCGCCTTATAAAAAAACAGTTTTTTGGCCATATTTTCCGTAAATGAGCAGCTCTGATTTTCATTCCAACGAAAATCGACTTTATAAATGTTTCAGAACACCTCCCCGTTCTTAGATTTCCGGGCCATTTTGACAATCCTATGCATCATTGAGGATAGCTGTGTAATATAAGCATGTGTACCTACGTGTAGTGACAGTGCCTTTCTTGTTCATAAGTTGTCAACTTTGGCTCAGTATTTTTGTTTTATAAACTATTCAAAAAATTAAAGCTTCAAAAGAATTTCCGAAATTTTTCGGTGATTTTTGACAGACTGTATTCAGGTGAAAAATGATGGTATCGGGAAATAAAAAAAACATTTTGAAGTTCTAAGATTCCGGTTTTTAGATTTTTCCGTCTAAAATACGGTTATTATGCAATTCTAAGAAATAGCGAGACAAAAAAACTTTCCTATTTTTTTTTCTGTGTCCACGGTCTTTTTTTCAGCTAAGCCATTGCGCGGACCAGATAGCTTGTTTATTCAGCTTCAATTTCCTTTTTTTTTTAAATTTCGATACGACCATTGTTCATCGAAATATCGGACTTTTAACGGAAAAGGATCCATTTGTCTTCAATCATCGATATCTCAGCGACAAATGGTCGTACAGAGAATTGAAGGGCAGTTTCGAAAACTGGAATAAATTTCCTATAACATGCTGCCGCAACTTTTCTCAGTTTTTTTTTTATCTTTTACCAAATCTTAAAAAACAGGAAAAAAAGGGTAATTTATAATTATTTTGAAAATTGACGGCTAAATTAGAAATATTTACGAAATGACTAATGTTAAGCATGACTTTTACGGTTCGATATACCCAGAATAACCTTGTGAAGTTTCATTTCGATCTAGCGAACCGTTTCTTTGTTTCAAACAGTCAAACTTTAAAAAAAATAAAGGGTCACGTTTTTTGAGCTTAAACGCTCCATAAACATGATTAAAATAAAAAAAAAACACATTTTTTTGAGGTTTTATCACATTTTTACCTCAAGTAACGTTTAAATTGATGAAAAAAAAAATCGAAAATTTTTTTCATAGAAAAAGGGTAGTTTTGAAAAATCTGTTTTTTAAGTGATTACAGATTGCACAAAAATTAATTAGAAATTTGTCTTAAATAAACGGTATGAATCGGGGTCGAAATCTGGGTTTGGGTCATCAACTTTAATTTTAATGAATTAAAAGTTGATGAACAGAAGTATAGGATGGAAAAGCCGAACCGTGCTGGAAACATTTGGATTTTGTTTTCTTCAATGTCCGGAAGGCTTTCCAAAAATAAAAAAAAAATTTTTCGAATTCTTATTTTTTGTTTTCAATTTAAACGTTATTTGCTGTAAAATGTGAGAAAACCTCAAAACAATTCTTTTTTCCATTTTAATTATGATTATGAAATGTTTAAGCTAAAAAACGTGACCCTTTAATTTTTATCAAAAGTTTGACCGTTTGAAACAAAGAAACAGTTAGCTAGATCGAGATGAAACTTCACAGGGTCCTTCTGTGTACATCGGTCTGTAAAAGTCATGCTTAATATTAGTCATTTCGTGAATATTTCTAATTTAACGGTCAATTTTCTAAAAAACCATTTTTTCTTTTTTCTAAAATTCGTATAGAAGATAAAAAAAAAATTCCGAAAAGTTGCGGTAGCACGTTATAGGAAGTTTATTTCAGTTTTCGAAACTGTCCTTCAATTCTCTGTACAACCATTTGTCGCCGAGATATCGATGATTGAAGACAAAAGGATCCTTTTCCATTAAAAGTCCGATATTTCGATGAATAATGGTCGTATCGAAATTAAAAAAAAGGAAATTGAAGCTGATTAAATAAGCTATCTGGTCCATGCAATGGCTTAGCTAAAAAAAATCCGTGTCCGTGGAAAATAAAAAAAAAATTGCAAATTTTTTTCTTGTCGCGTTATTTCTTAGAATTGCATGACAATCGTATCTCCTAAAAAATTTCGACCGAAAGATCTAAAAATTAGAATCTTAGAGCTTCAAGCATTTTGAAGCTTTTTAATTCCCTATACGACCATTTTTTACCTAAATACAGTCTGTCAAAAATCACCGAAAAATTTCGGAAATTCTTTTGACCCGTTAATTTTTTGCATTAGTGTATAAGAAAAATGAAAAGTAAAAAGCGAGGGATGGCGGTGAGATTGTCCAATTGTATTTATCTTGATTTTTACTTGTAACTTTTTAAATATGAAGGGAAAATGTAAAGACAAAGTTAATAATAATTGAATAAGTGCACATGGTTGTGGCAAAAAATCACTTTGTTATAATTGGCCGCGCAGCATAGGCGTGCGGATTATCAAGATAAAATAAAGTGAACAATGGTTATAAGATTTATGTCATTGTATCATTGTGAAACACGCACCTAAATTGTTTTACGCATCGTTACCATTGGTTCCATAATCTGAATGTGATCCGTTATAGATCGCATCATTAGATATGTTTCTACCCTTGTTTTAACGAAACTTATTCGCGGCGATGATAAAATTTCTTAATCTGAAAAGAACGACCGTTCGACATCTACTGATGCAATATTTGCATAATGAAATAATCTACTTCTAAGCTAGTCCGACATGGTCATTTTCACTCGAGTTGTATTTATTCCAGGAGGAATAAAATCTTTTATTATTTACTACTATGTCAAATGGTGGGTTACATGCAGTCAGTATGAAGATTAATTCAAACATACATAAATTGAGTCTTCTGGTTTTCGCTAGTTTTTTTATACGTGTGTTGTGCACTGTTTAATACTTGTTACTTTTTGTTTATTAATATTTATTTTAAACGATTTTATACATATACAAGTATACTGAATTACATTATTGTTTATATTTTTTTAGTAAATCAAAGTATTGTTCGTTAATTTAACTTTTCCGATGATATTTAATGCACATATTTTCTCAGGATTAATCAATTTCTACTTACTGTAGTAAACTAGAATCAAAAATAAATATTTTAAATTTCAACTTTGTTATAATATAGTAAAAAAGAAAACATATTTGCCCTGTAGGCCAATGTGCGACACTGAAAAAGTCGCACACATTCAGGATATAAAGAAGGAAAAATTAAACAACTATGTTTTAATAAAAAATGACGTTACGATTTACGATTATTTGAGAGAGGCACACTTTGTTTTCGCGTACGGAGCGTCGGCGCGCTACTTTTCCGTTTCGCGAACAATTTGCGCGCCGTTTTCCATTATCAGTCAGAAAGCGTCGCCGGAGCGGGTTAGTGACACTCTACGCAATGGAAACATCGCCTCGTGGTCCCTTGTTTTCGTACGAGTAAGTACTTGACCACTATATTAATAAAGGAAATAAAGTAGAATTAGAGAACCTTCACCAAATTTCCATAATGAAGCTAATGAAATGAAGAAGCGAATATTACACATGAAACATTTTTTGTAAATAAGAAACTTAGTACATCTTACAGTGAAAAAATAAGTAAAATGAATCACTGAATCTAAGTTTGTCTATTTGAAAATGTTTCACTTTATCTGCACATTTAAATATAGGGCGGTCTTCGTTATTGTTTGAGATACAAAAAAGTTGAGATTAGAAGTTGTAGGTATTTTTTAACATTTGTTGACATGTGTATCCCGAAAACAATTTTATGTTGGATTTCCCAGACATAGGCCCAAATTGTAGATTTTTTTTCAATGGAACATCCTGTAGATCTTTCCACTATTGGATTGCCAGAATAGCATTTCAAAAATATATCTTACATGATATTTATCTTTAAATAAATATTTCTTTGAAAACCTTCTATTTTTTCGTATCTGGAATAATAAGGTAGAAAAGGGGATACATTTTTGTGTAATCACAAACAAATACACTGCAAAAGTGTAAAATAAAAAAAATGTGTTAATTTTCTATACAAACTTCCTGTAATTTATCTACCAGATAATAATGTTGATTCCAATATAAAATAGGATACATAATAACACCTAAGAAATTTCATTTTTTTGGATTATCCAAGCTGTCAATGCATTTGGTTGAATAAATATATAATAATTTTTCTAGTTCTAGTTCTAGTTTCTAGTTCTAGTTCTAGTTCAGTTGATATAGTAACACCTCAGAAGATATATTTACGAAAAATATATTAGAATTTAAAGGATTTACATTGATGGTCTTGCTGGGATCATATTTGAGACTACCTAACAACGATTTGGATACTTTTGAACTATTAAAAATATTGGTCTTATTTGCTTCTTCAAATAAAACACTATTTATGATCTATACAATTTTTTATATTCGGTAGTCAGCTCTTTCTGATATATTTGCATAATACTACTTTAAATGCCGAAAAAGACTTAATTGACTTAACTGAGTTTTATCATCTGATTTATCGGCTTCCCAGTACGAGCAAATTTTGTTTTTTTCTGTCTGGCTACATTAATTTGTTCAACAAATGCGACAGGACAATATTTTATGTCCTTTGTCGTCTGATTCTAGTGAATTGTAAATGTATATCAAGTGTGCAGATGCATCATGAAAAGAATTACAATTTACAAGGAAATTATCCAGATAGGTAATTATTATATTTATTTGGTTCGTTATCAAAGTTTCAAATCCAAATGAGACTACAAAAACTAAAGTCACTAGTAATAATGACTCATATTTTTTATTTTTATTATTTCAAAAACTTTTATAATTTATCAGTAAATGACAATATTACAGACAATTATAAACAAGATCATGCTGTATAATTTATACAGCAGAAGGTTCACGTATCCATTCCTTCTGAAAGTCATGCAATGTTATCCATAGCCAAAAAAATCAAGAATATTTTTCATAAAAATTGCCACTTCATCTATATGTATATTTTACTAGTATGAACAATGAGGTTAAATACATGCTTGAATTTTACGAAATTGAATTTCTTCAAACAAAGTCCATTTGTACTAAAGCAAATAATAGTACAGGTTTTATTAAACGAACTGTAAATTTTGTGCAAATACATTGAATATTAAGACGAACAAACTAAAAAAAATTCCCATTGCAACATGCAATTTACAAAATGCACTGGCTTTATTTTTTCAAAATTAGGGTTCCTAAAACAAGTTTTATATTTAATCATTATTAGAATTTTTTTCCAAAGATTGTCACAATACACTATTTGTGGTATAGTTTTACATATGATAATAAATTGGCCAACTTATTGATCAAAAAGTATTTTAAATTTTAGAATAAAAATTAGTCATCAGTCATCAGTCATCAACCACGATAGACCTAACTTATGTAAGACTAACGCAACTGTAATATTGTACGATTGCAATTAATTATTGAGTCAGTATTAAAAGTCACTAGAAATTTTCAAAATTGGACAATAAATTAGGACCCGTTCTATTGTCTCCAATAACATTTAAAAATGAAAGGAAATGAAATGAAAAATCCTGGTTTCCCCTAGAAATGTATTTTAATGAGACATTAATTAATACAAGTTTAAGATAAAGAGATCAACTTGATTATGAGAATAAGTTCAAGTATTTTAGAGCATATTTATGAAGTTTTTTCTGATGAATCATTTTCAATATTTTAGATTAATTGGGTTACTTTAGATTACACTACATAATTTCATTCAAGTAAAAAGTATCCCAAAAATGCATGCCAGGAACAAAATCAATATTTGCATAAATGGACTTAGGGGATTGGTCTATAAAAACTTGTATTAAAATATGATGGAAGATTTATTGAAGTGAAAGGCGGTACGAATTTTTAAATTTTTAATTAAATAAACTAAGGGCCGGTCTTTCTCAGTGTCTCATAAATTATCAGATAAATTTATCTCGGGTTTCCCAAAATTCACGCAAGGATCGAATTTTACGCCATTTGTACCTTTTGCCAACGAAACAGCGTGGCAACTGGTAATTCAGGGTTATTAAAAATGGAATGTTACACGAATGAACAACTCGTTTTCATTGGTGAGCAAAATAATTAAATTTTCGTAGATACAGTTTGAAATTTTCGTGCAAAATATGATCGGAAGAGATCAATTGAAAAATTCAGAGAGACTGGATCAACTAGTGATTTTAAACACTCTGACTGTCCTTTAACAAGTCGTTTAACACAAAACATCGAAGCAGATCGTGAGAGTGTTGCTGAGAGTCCAGGAACATCAATGCGGCACGGTGCTCAAGCATTGAACATTTCGAGAAGCTCTCTACAGCGTGTTCTCACCAACGATTTGCATCTTTACTCTTACAAAGTTCAATTGGCTGAAGAACTGAAGCCTACTGACCATCCAGAGCGACAAGAGTTCATTGAATGGATCATGGAACAAGTGGATGATGATTTTTCCCAAAATATCATCTGCAGCGATGAGACTCAGTTCCATCTTGATGGTCTCGTTAATCGACAAAATTGTCGTATTTGGGGTTTAGAAAATCCACGAGTGATTGTTGAGAAACAAATGCATCAACAAAGTGTTACTGTTTGGTACGGATTTTGGGCTGGAGGCATCATCAAACCATCCTTCTTTATGATTATGCGATTTAACCTCGTTGGACTTTTTTCTTAATCCAGTTTTCTGTGCTTAAATTGTAAGGTATGGATTTAGAGGAAATGTTTCAACAAGATGGCGCCAAATGCCATACAGCCCGAGAAATAATTCAATTACTTTATGAGTCATTTTCTGGTCGTGTAATTCTCGTTTTGGTGACCAGGATTGGCCGCCTAGATCACGCGATTTAACGCCGTTGGACTTTTTTCTTTGGAGTTTTTCGATGTTTAAAGTTTATTTCAACAAGCCCACGACCACTCACGCCTTGAAGGAGGAAATTGAGCCACATTTATGCAAAACGAACATGGAAAATTTCGACAAGAGTGCGTATGTGCGAGCAAAGCCGTGGGGGCCTACATTCCATACATAATCTATATACTTTATGAATAAATAAAAATATTACAATTTTTAATGAAAAACTTCTGTTTTCTACAAAAATTACTTCTTGCGTGAATTTTGGGACACCCTTTATCTATGACTACAATATTAGGGAAACAGATGTAGACTTAAGAGACATACTAATTTACAAGTAGGAATGGGCTCTAAACGTAATTATTTTTACAAGGATATATTAATTGTGTGGTTATTAAACAATTTTGCCTTTATTAGTATTTCACCGATACTTAGAACATCTGTTCTTTGACAGTTATATTTTGGAGGCGTATGAAATACTGAGCTAATATGTTCCACACATTCGGAAGTATTATTTTATATTTACTTCTGTATTATAGTTGGAAGAAATAACGTTGATTGTTGAGGAGGTTAACTACTTGAATTTGAGGAGAATGCTTCATCGAAAGTTTCCGCAAAGGTCTCAGCGACTTCAAAGTTATTGTTGCGCATACTGACATTTTTATTTTTAATCACTGGAGTAGAAATTTTGCTTGAGAGTCGAGAACCTGTATATTTGTCGAAAGCCTTCGGCCCTTTTTCAATTAATTGATTTTCAAAAGAAGATCTTGCACGACGTATCTGTCCTGAAAGTCTGTTGGCATAATTTCGGTGGAGCTGATAGTCTTCAAGAGATTTAGAGCATTTGCCATAATGATTTTTCAACCAAGCACATTTCATATAATTCTCCATTAAGCCATTGAGTTCTATGTTGGATGTATGTTTATTGACAGGCATATATGTATAAGGGTATGATACTTCTAACTGTATTAAACCAACTATGCCATAGATCATCGGGATAATCTTTCTTGTACAATCCTCAAACCAAACTACATCGGCCAAATGGTTGTTCGTCGATACATAATCGACCTTGAAATAATTGGATTTTGGCATATTATTGCTGTTATCGCAATGAAGAAATTGCATTGTAAATTTTATGCATATGTGATCAGATTTCCTCAAAGGAGAATAACTACGGTTAAAGAGGTCGTCATTGTTTGTTACAAGTATGAGTAGAATAACGAGAAATGGGGTCTGATTGGTCCTGTATCTTATATTTTCAGTAACATGCTGAGTTAGACCTGTAGATAACAGCATGATGTAATTTAAAAAAAAAAATTTCCGTGTTTTCTGAAGAACCTTTTGTTTGCTTTTTGAATAAAAATTTAGTCACCAATTAAAACGACCAAATTTAAAATGTATACTTCATTTTGCCTAACCCTTTACATAAATATTAAAAGAAGAAAATATATATAAAAAGAAAATTTTTTGCATAAGAATTGAATAAAATTATTACTATTGAATACTGCCTATTATACGAAGGTTCAATTCATTTGGAAATATAAAAAATACAAAAAAAAAAAGTAATTTGAGTGCTGTTATTACAGCTCAC